CCATTTCTTTTGATCTTTGTGCTCCTGGGCTTGTTCAAAAGCTTTGTCTTTGAAGTCAGAGATCCTTTCTTTTGCCTGTTCCACTCTGTTATGGAGGGATTCCACCAAATCTTTCAGATCCTTGAGGGTTGCAACCTCTTGTCTCAGTGTTTCAAAATCTTTGATCATTTTATCTTTGAAATCATTGAATTCTTGAGACATCTTTTGAATAATTTTTTGAGATATTTTTTGAATAATTTCTTGAGAAATCTTTTGAATAATTTTTTGAACTTCTAGTTCCTTCCTTTCTTCCATTCTGTTAATCTTATTTGCTATCCACATTCTGAACTTGATTTCTGACATCTTAGCTATCTGTTTATGGATGGGTTCTTCAATTGCATCTGCCCCACTTTTCCTTGGGGGAGTTGATCTTCTCTGGTTATTCAAGTTGCCAGAGTTTTTCCACTGATTCTGCCTCAAGCTGAGTTTACCCTGTTTGGAGACCTTATCAGAACTGTTCAGTCAGTGGCTTCTTCTGGTTGCCGAGAGAGACAGGGTGTGTCTGTCATCTGCTCCCAGTTCGCAGGTGCTGGGGTGACCAGGGCACAGCAGAATGGCAGCAGCTGTGTGGGAGCATGTGTAGCTGGATCAAACCTCGGATCGGCCTGCCTGGGCGCCGGGGGGCAGGAGACCAGCAGCAGCCAGATCAGTCCTAATTTGGCTCCACCAAGGTGACCAGGGTAGCAGGGGAACTGCAGTGGTGATGCGGGCGCTCACACAGCTGGATCAGTCCTACTTCAGCCCTGCCGGGGCAATGGGGGGCGGTGGAGCAGTGGAATGGTGGCACCAGATCAATCCTTGTTCAGCCCTGCCAGTGCGGCCAGGGGAGCAGGGGAATGGCAGCTGCTGGATCAGTCCCAGTCCAGCCCCATCTGGGCAACTGGGGGGAAGGGGAATGGCAGCAGCAGGAACAGGGAATGTGTGTAGCTGGGTCAGTCTTAGTTTGGCCCCACCAGGGCAACCAGGGGACAGGGTAACTGCTGTGGCTAGATCAGTCCTAGTTCTGCCTCACTGGAGCAACTAGGGGGTGGTGGAACAGCAGTGGTGGTGCAGGGCACACACACGACCAGATCAGTCTTAGTTCGCCCTGCTGGGGCAACCATGGGGCAGGGGAACAGCAGCAGCTGGATCAGTCCTAGTTCAGCCCTGCTGGGGCAACTGCAGGGACAGGGGAATGGGGAGGGGAGGACTCTTCTGCCACCACCTGCTGGATGTGCATGGCACTAGCTAGCCGATCTGGTCCCTCCCAGCATGGGAGCCTGGAGTGGGGAACTCCTCCACCACCCCCCATGGGACATATATGGCTCTAGCAAACAGTTCTGGGCCCACCCAGAGCATGAGCCTGGAATGTGGAGCGGGGATCTCCTCTGCCACCCGTGGGGCATGCATGGCTCTAGCAAGTAGTTCTGTGCCTGCCGGGAGCTGGGGGCTCCTCTGTAGCCACCTGCTACCTGTGGGAGGCATGCAGCTCTAGCAAGCAGTTCTGGGGCCTGCTTTATACCTGTATTTGTGTTCTTAAATGGTCTTTTTTGGATTTATAGCTTGCTGGGCCTGACCAGATCCAGGGACTCCTCTGTTGGCCCCCACAGGGTGCACATGTCTCTAGCAAGCAGTTTTAGGCCTGCTCAGAATGCAGGACTCCTCTGCAGCTGCCCGTGGGACATGTGCAGCTCTAGCAAACAGTTCTGGGCCCACCCAGAGTGGGGATTACTCCGCCACTGTCTGTGGGGCATGCATGGCTCTAGCAAGCAGTTCTAGGCCCACCCTGAATGGAGAGCTCTTCCTCCAGCTGCCTGCAAGACATGCACGACCCTAGCAAGCAGATCTGGACTCACCCGGAGTGGGGGACACATTTGCCGCTGCCTGCAGGGCTGCGTGGCTCTACCAAGCAGTTCTAGGCCTGCCCACAGCAGCGGGCTCCTCCACCAGTGCCTGCGGGGCATGTGGGGCTCTCAAAGGCAATTCTGGGCCACCCGGAGTGGGGGACTCCTCTGCCAGCCCCCAAGGGGCATCTGTGTCTCTAGCAAGAAGTTCTGGGCCCAGCCAGAGCAGAGGACTCCTCCGCCACCGCCGCAGGACACGTGAGGCTCTAGCAAGCAGTTCTGGGCCTGCCCCTAGTTGGAGACTCCTCTGCTGTTTCCCCAAGGGGTGCACCTGGCTCTAGCAAGCAGTTATGGGCCCACCAGGAGCAGTGGGCTCCTCTGGTGCAGCTCTAGGAGTGGAGGACTCTGCTGCTGCTGCTGGTGGTGAGTTTGTACCTTTTGATTGTATTTTTGGGATCACAGCTCACCTCAGCAAAGTTGTTGTGGGTTCTTCAATCTTCTCTCTTGGCTCAGCTCCAAACCATCAGCTTACTTGCCAGACTTCTGTCCTTTAAGTCTCCTTCTGGATGGGAGCCTCTGTGGGAAGCTGGCTGCAGTCCACCATCTTGGCTCCGCCTCCTTTTAAGACACTTATATTCTACACTCACCCTTGTACCCTTGTAAGATGCACAGTAGGTGTGGTCCCATCAATTGCCCTCCCTCCCCCTCCCCTCCCTCTTCCCTTTTCCCTTCTTCTTGGGCTCTAATTGTGTTATAGCTTTCATATACCTTCTTAGCTTATTACGCTTATTCCACCACTTGGAAAACTTTAAAATCACTGTCACTTATATAATTTGAACTGAAGCAAAACTTAACTTACAAAAGCTCAACATTTGTATCCAACATTCCACTTTGATTTACTTTAACTAATATAAATAGTTTTCATTAACCTTTAGTCAAACTTCAGTACTAACCAAGAAAAAGCTCTGCTCTCTCTTTTTTGCTCAAACACACCATAAAACGGTTTGATTTTTAAGTCTAGATCAACAGGAGGTTACTGTGCCTTAGTCAGAGGAAACCTTTTCTCCTTCTGAACTGATCTCCATAAGGTCACTGTTACCTGCTCAGACTCAATGGCCTTTGAGGTGCTCCTGGATCAAGTAGGAAGCCTGGGGAGATTCCAGATCCTTCAGCTGGCTTTCTGTTGCATCATCAGCATCCTACTGTTCCCTCATGTTATGCTGGAGAACTTTACTGCAGCCGTCCCTAGTCATCGCTGCTGGGTCCACATCCTCGACAATGACACTGTCTCTGACAATGACACTGGGACACTCAGCCAAGATGCCCTCCTGAGAATCTCCATCCCACTGGATTCCAACTTGAGGCCAGAGAAGTGTCGTCGCTTTGTTGTTCCCCAGTGGCAGCTCCTTCATCTGAACCAGACCTTCTCAAACATGAGTGAGGCAGACACAGAGCCATGTGTGGATGGCTGGGTGTATGATCGAAGCTTCTTCTCATCCACCATTGTGACTGAGGTAAGAAGCTACATGTTCTGCTTATGTGATTGAGGTGTTTGGAAGTAACACAGAGTCCAATGGTGTCACAGTTCACTACAACCTCAAACTCCTGAATTCAAATGATCCTTCTGCTTCAGCTTCCTAGAGTACTAGGGTTATAGGTATGAAACACCACCCTCAGCCTTTAATTATAATTCTTAAAGGATATAAATATGTTAATGCAATTAAGGGAGTTGGTGGTGTGAAGACAAAATAAAGAGACATAGTCACATGGATACAGGCTTTTGGAAGGTTATGAGGTTGGAGAAAAAGCCAGCTGTATTTAAAGGGCTGAAATTAGTTCAGTACTTTCAGGGTGTGGGCTACACAGGAGAGTATCTGTTTATGAAGCTGGAGAGGGAGGCAGGACCATCACAGCAGAGGCTCATGCACATCTTCTGTAGGAGTTTGGAGACACAGTTCTCCCCAGCTCCACTATGCTGCTTTCCTTCTCTTCCAGTGGGACCTGGTGTGTGAATCTGAGTCACAGAAATCACTGGCTCAATCCCTAATTTTGACTGGGTCGCTGCTGGGATGTCTGATATATGGTTATCTTTCAAACAGGTGAGTATCACCTCATTTTCTTTTGAAGTGTTTATCAGATGATATATTCATTCCTTTATTTTAGACATGTTTGCTGAGCTTGTGTACCTTACACTGTGCTATTTGCTAGCCTCTATTTCTGACTCCATGGAGCTAAAAGTGAATAGGAATGCTCGACTATGTGAAGTAGTAATTATAGATTGATATGAGAAATCTGCTTACTGTACTTCATTAAGGAAGACATACGAAATCCAAATCAGATTCAACAAAGTTTCAGGAAGGGGATTAGAGAGCAGATTACATAACTTCAGGTTTATGAGTAGGAATGAGTTCAATACAAGGGGAGACAGAAAAAAGCTACGTGTTTAAAAGCACAAATTGTGAAGCAATGTTGTTGCCTTTGGCAACACTGTGAATGACTTAGACTTGTGAGGTAAATGACTGTGGACACTTTTAGACTAGTCATCATTTCATGCCTGTAGTTTGGTGCTCAAGCGCAGTGGGAGTCACAGTTATAAAGTCTGTGCTGTGTCCAGCAGTGTAGCACTGACAGTTAACTCTTTGCACTCATAACTTGAGTGCTGATCCTTTGCAATGTATTTAATAAGTAATTTTGCCATCATAAAAACAACATAATATTTAGAACCTAGAATAACATGGTTTAAGGCTGAGAAGTTTAGGGCTTCCTAAACACTAAAAGAATTTTCTTCTGGAGATTCTGGAAGTGCAACTTGAATTTGGGGGTGGGGGAGGGTGGATACCGAGATGGAAAGTCCTAACAACCTAGAGGGAGTTTGGCTGTTCAGCTAGAAGGCCACACCTCCTCCCACCCAACCTTTCAGCCCTGCAGCTGGGGGCAGAGTTTGGATTTATAAGCTAGGTTAGATTTAATTATTATCTAGGATGAACTAATGAAAAAAGATGAACCACCTCTTGATTTTCCTGATAACCAGGAAAGATTTGAATATGCTTTTAATGAAAAGGGGCAGTTCAGACACATAAAAACTGGGGAACCATTTGTTTTTAACTACCGGGAAGACTTGCACAGATGGAACCAGAAAAGATATGAGGCTCCTAGAGATGTCATTAGAAAATATGCATATGAGCTCCTGGAGAAGGGCTGTAATTTGAAAAAAAAAAAAAAAACTATTCTAGTAGATGCCACTAAGAGTGAATCAAAGATTTTTTTTTGGCTAGGGCTGGGTTTGAACCTACCACCTCTGGCATAGGGGGCCGGCACCCTACTCCTTTGAGCCTCAGGTGCCACCCAAAGATTTTATCTTTGTAAATGAGGATGCTTTGACAAATCCACAGAAAATGTTGGTTTTAATTCATGGTATTGGTATCGTCAGGGCAGGTCAGTGGACTAGAAGGTTTATTATAGAGCCGTGGATGAAGGATATGGACTAATACTACTGAAGCCCAATGAAAACTATCTTGAAGTAGAAAAGCCAAAGATACATGTACGGTCATCTTCTGATAGTTCGGATGAATCTGCAGAAAAACGAGAAAGAAAAGATGAAGTTTCTAAAAAAACAAAGAAAGGACATGATTTCTATAAGTATTGTAATCCTCTAAGAGAAAAAGAAAAAGAAAAGAAACCATATTAGAGAAAATGGTTCTCTTGAAGAACATGCAATCTGTTTGGGACCATTTTGTAGCCCAGTCTTCAGTTGAGAATGTATTTTTGGTTGGTCACAGCTCTGGAGGACTAGCTTTTGTTGAAGGAACGATTCAACAAGAAGCAGATGTAAAAAGTAAGGTAACTGCTGTGGCATTGCTAGACTCTGTTCCCAATGTGTGGCATCAAGAAGCTGGCAAAACAATTGGAGAGTGGTTGAGAGATAACTATTGTAACTCGGTCTCTAGCTCAGAACTGTTACATGTATCAGTGGAGTCCATGCTACCTGACTGCCCCCCCGCCCCCATCTCAGTATGCACCGACTCTCACGAGCTAACTTCCTGGAAGAGCTTCCCAACTCTTCAAATTCCTCTTCGTCTTTTTTTTTTTTTTTTTTGAGACACCCATCTCCCTTTGTTAACCTTGAAAAATCCCTC